AGTTCTGAAAATGCTACCACAGTAGAGTCGTTGCTGATGGGAATGTGATCACCTGTTTTTCTCAAGTCCACAGTGAGCTCCTTGCTCTTGGGAACATTGGTGGGTCAGACTATTTATGAGGCACCAGACAGACAGATCATACATCTGCCTCCTGTAGGCAGCCTCATCATTATCGCTCATCGCTGTGGTGTCATCCGCAAACTTGCTGAGCTTGACTTCACAGTCACGGATGAACAGGCCGTATAACAGGGCTCAGACAGCAGCCCTGAGGGGTTCCCATGCTTAGAGTCAGTGTTGCTGAATTCCTGATGCTGATCTTCACTGTCTGGGGTCTGCTGGTTATGAAGTCCATGACCCAGTGGCAGATGGAAGCGACTGATCGGCAAATAGCGAGCTGAACCGTGTCTAGATTGGTGGGGATATTACTGTTTAAGGATGACTGGCCTAGGTTTTCCAGGCACTTCATCACAACAGGCATTAGGGTGATGGGGCGAGCCAGAGGCAGGTGTTTTCTTTGGCAAAGGCACAATCGTTCCTTCTCTGAAGCATAAAGGAACGATGCATGATGGCGACAGCTGCTGCAAGTGCATTTTTGAGACACAGAGTAGAATTCCATCTGGGCCAGGAACTGGAAGCTCTCAGCTTTCGCCACCTGCCGTAAAAAGTGTAGCTTCTTTCTCCTCTCCTGTTTTATTCGTAAATTGCATTAGTAGGCCATGCAGTCTAAATGTTTGTAACAGCCAGTATGTGTAAACAAACAAGGACTTGCAAGACATTTTTATCTGACAACAAATGCAGACATAGTTAAAGTACGGTGTACCCTTCATAAGCTCTCAGTAGCGAGGCATTCCAGACAAATGTCAAGTCAAATTTATTTGTATAGCGCTTTTTACAACTGATGTTGTCACAAAGCAGCTTCACAGAAATCCATTAAGGACAAAGTTTTAACATGAAATGTAAATCCTCCAGGTGAGCAAACCAGGGGCGACAGTGGCAAGGAAAAACTCCCTCAGAGCTGAGGAAGAAACCTTGGGAGGAACCAAGGCTCACATGGGGGGACCCATCCTCCTCTGGTCAAACTACCTACAAAATTATTATACTACTAATATTAATAGTAGTAGTAGTAGTAGTAGTAATAGTAGTTAGGAGTCCATGAAAACTTCAGTGTAGAGTGGGAGTGGGCAGCTAGTCCAAGTCAAGTGGCGGTAGCTGGGCAATGCAGGTCTATCCAGCTATACCCTGAGACAGATAATACCAGATTTAAACAGGGCCAGAGGCTCTCCAGGCCAGCTAGCTTCTGGCTATATTGTCCTTGGCAGGTTTCCGCAGGTCATATCTGGAGTTCTTAGACTGTTTTCTGTCTCCTGAGAGACAAACAGATGACATTCAACCAGATACATAAAAGCACTGTCACTTATCCAGGGATTCTGATTGGCATGAGTGAGGAGGGAACAGAGGAGTGAACACAAAAACTGACAGCATCTGACAGAGCCTGCTGATTTGTCCAAATCCTCCCAGAGTGTTCTGAAGATGGACTAGGCCATTGCTTCATAGCAGTCTTTTAGTTTGAGGTTCAGATTTATGCTCCACGTTCCAGCACTGAATTGAGGTACAGCGTGCACGTTGTGCAGACGGTATGCACGTTTGATGGCAGAGCAGTAATCAAACTTTCTTTCACTTCTAGTTGAACAGTCAGTGCTGGTAATATTTCAGTTACCATTTCAGTTACCAACTAAATGTGGTTAATGGATTGATAACTTAGTAACTAAGTAAAAGGGGGGCAATTACTTTTTCACAGAACAGTGTGTAGAAATAATGCTTGTATTTTAATTATTTTTTGAAAAATCAAACACTTGTTCAAGCAATAATAATATAATGTATAATGTACAATTATTTAATGTAAGTAATGTTTAATAACTGGCTAATAACTGCACATTTCTTTTCTTGATTAATTAAAATCATAATGGACTGATTAATCAATTATAGAGATAATTGTGTGTTGCCAAACTAAGTTACTGGAAGCTGACAAAATGTTTTTGAACTACTAGGTGACTGCACTGTATCCCATCATGCCTCCCTGATCCATAAAGCTGCCAGTAGACAGTGTGCATATAAACATCACTGGTGTATGATGTGGTGGTTGAGATATTGTAAGTAGGTTATGTAATATGCAGTTGCTGCAATAAAATTTGTTTATGGAGAAATATTTAGGCAAGTCGGAGTGCAATATGCTGACTTTATGAGCACTATCAGCTGTCAGCAGGGTCCTTGGAAAATGGATTAGTCCCATTAAAGGTGTTTCTTTCTGACGTGTTAGGTGCCATTTAAAGGTCACTGTATGGTCACAATGACAAATGAAACAGTCTTCTACTAAAACGTTACCATTTCAGAGATTCAAGATTATGACAGTGACTATGTTGAAAAATAAATACTTTTTGATGATTCTCTGGATAGCAGAAGCCTCAGGTCACATGTCTTACGGCGCTGTGAAAAAGTATTTGCCCCTTCTGATTTCTTCAATTTTTGCAATTTTTTTTTACAATTGATTGTCTAAGACAACCTGAGAAAACATAAAATACAGTTTTTACATGATATTTTTATTCAACACCAACCTAATACACATATCTTTTAAATTACATTTGCAAAATATGAAAGGGAACAGCACCAGATCTTCTGCATTTCTATTAAAAATGCATTTTAATCAGTGTGAAAGCTGCAAGAACAATACAATAACTCAAAAAATTATCTTCCTGATAAATGATAACGCAAAGCTACATGAATTAGTTTTAGTGGGGTCAGTAACCTGGTCAGTCATACCTGATTTATCGCTGACGGCACAGAAACGGCACAGTTATCTGCCATGTCAAACATGCACAGTCCTGAAGCTCAACACAGAAAAACAGCACTGACCAAAAAAAAAAAGAGGCAAGCACTTTAACAAAAAAAATCTTAATTCTTTTTTTTTATTGGATTTTTACCGGATTTTCTCCCCAATTTAGTTGTCTCCAATTCCACCCACTAGTTAGGACTCCCCCAATCACACGATAATGTCAACACTAGGAGGGCGAAGGCTAACACAGGCTTCCTCCGAGAACTGTGAAGCGCCGCCGCACTGCCGCTTTCGAACTGCCGCTCACGCAACGTCATTGGACAGCTGAACGCGCTCGGAGGAAAGAACTGCCAGATCTGTTACGTCAGCTAACAGACGCCTGCGCTGACTAGCATCGCGTTAAGTGATGGGGGAGAAGGAGGGGCCATCCTACTCACCCAGAGAGAGCGAGGCCAATTGTGCTCTCTCGGACTCCCGGCTACAGATGGCTGTAGCATCACCAGGGATTGAACTCGTGATCTCCTGATGATAGGGACAATGCTTAGAAGGTTGCGCCACTTGGGAACCCCATGCTCTTAATTCTTAACAGGCCCTTCAACAAAGGCAAGGAAATGTCCAGTGATACCCCAACATGAAACATGGGGAGGGGGTAACACAGGAGGACACAACACACTGGGCGGATAGACACTTCCAACACACTACGCCAACTCTCCTCTGACACAGTTTCAATAAACAGCAAATATTTTACTAATAACAACATCAACAACAACTTAACTGTCCTTTTTCACACTGGGACTGTGGCACATCGCGAGAGCCACTTTGCATGGCTACACTCTCAAAGCTTCCCACAGCAGTGCGACCCATGGTGCCTCAGTGCGTTTATTGTGCTAAGTTTTTGCTATAGATACAGGGTGTTTTCCACTTATGCACAGCAACTGTGCTGTCATACCAAACCTTTTTTTTTTTCTTGGATGATGTTAAAGGGAAGTGTTCCCATATTTTTGACCTTTTGGGTTGTGCACAATCCTGCACACCAGTCTCTTTTTATTTTAATTAAGTTATCTAATTACGCATTGTTTATAAAAAGATTCATTGACAAGCATGTTTTATCAATGTTATCGATGTAGTCAATTCATTGTTGGAGTCTTAGTTTATCATTTAGCTATACACATTGTTGTGCAAGACCATCAGAGTCAGAGACCATCGTTCATTTATTTGATTTCTAATCAAAATGGGCATAAAGTTATTCCTTTATCAGCATCAGGTTAAAAAAAAAGCAGATAGTGTCATCAACAGAAAATAATCTACAGGGATATTTTTCCACACATCCAAAGTTCAGTCTTAGAAGTTGGTAGCATTTTCTGTTTCTGATGATCCCATAAATGCCAAACACATTCATTGATGTGAAGTCTGGACTCTGGGGTGGTCAGTCCATTGTTCTGAAAACACCAGCGGCTTCTTAGTTTGATTTGCAAATGTTCTTTTTTGCCTATTGACTTTTCTCAGTAATAGTTACACATCCTTTCAGACCTGCTGTGTGGAGTCTTCTCATGGTGGAAGGATGGACAGAAACACCTGTTTCTAGTTCTGGAAACTCCTGTACTTTCACTTTTTCCTTTGACTTTCACTTTCATTAGGAGGTGGATTATGTTATATCTAATCTCCTCAGAAATATCTCATGAAAAATGAGTAACTGGTACTTCATAGATGGAAATTCAATAAATGAAGGGTGGTCTCTGAGTCAGAGCAATATCAGCAGCAACTGTGTTTTTCCTTGTAATACCACTATATAACATTGGAAAAAATACAAATAAACATAAATACAGTAAAAGTAGCCAGAATTTCATCTTTTTCAAATAAACAGTTGATATGAGATAGTTAGAAGAACACAGCTTCAACTGTCTCCTCCATGCCCTCTTACCACTAAATGGATTTGCTAGATTCTACCATCAGCACCTTATTTAACATAATAAAGTATCATTAATCCAAAACAGGCTAAAATTAAATATTCAATTAATAAAATTAAATACAAAATTCTATTAGGTGCCTAAGACTGTTGCACAGTACTGTATAAATAAATGTTTGATGGGCAGTGTGAATAAAAGAAGCTGAGCAAGTGGAGGAACATATATGAGTGTATACGTGGGTGTGTATGTATGTGCGTGTTTACCTGGTGGAATAGGGGGCTGTGTGTGACCGGGATCTGCAGGGCATTGAGACACATCCCCACCACCATGTCATCAGGAGCGTCATTACTGTAGCACTTACAGCCACTGGCCAAGAGCCTGAGTACCGCCTCCCTGCTGAAGACCATCCTACACAACACAGATGCACACATATAGATAAGGAGTCAGCCTTTAGCACCTAAAATTAAACAGAATATTCAGCTCAAATATAATTAACACTTATATGGTATCTGAGGTTACAGTGCTGCTTGAAAGTTTGTAAGCCCTTTATTTTCATCTTGTGAATTTCTACATAAATGTGACTTAAAATATGATAAAAACTCAATTGAACAATGTAATCCGACATTAAATTTCTTTGTTGTCAAACGTATGCCAACCTCTAGAATCATCAGTTTGGTATGGGTGATAATTGGGGTCAGAAGTTTCAATCAACTGGATGACAGTTAGGACGTCAGAACCCTACCCTATCTAAAAAACATCAACCCGAGTCTTCGCCATCAAAGTCTGGTCTTTTCCACACATATTTGTTAGTATATGCCCTGTTTTAGTTGAAACAGATATCTGAGGACCTCAGAAAACTTTTGCCAATGCTCATTAGGCTGGAAGATGTTCCAATAAAATTTCTGAAGAGTTTGAATTCACCAATCCACTGTCAGGTGGATAGTGTGTAAAGGAGGAAATTCAGCACCACTGTTACCCTTCCCTGGAGTGGTCATCCAACAAAAATGACTCCAAGAGCAAGGCGTAGAATATTCTGGGAGATAACAAAGAACCCAAGGGTAACATTTAAGATCTGCAGGCCTGTCTTACACTGGTTAATGTCAGTGTTCCTGAGTCACAATCAGGCAAACACTGAAGTATAATAGCATGCATGGAATGACGGCACGAAGAAAGCCACTTCTCTCCAGGACGAACATTGCTGCCCGTTCAAAGTTACCTAAAGACCACCTGGATGAACCAGAAGACTACTGAAAAACATGACGTAGACAGGGAAGGCAAAAATGGACCTTTATTGTTTAAATGTTAAATGTTATGTTCAGCAGAAAACAAACACTCATTCCAACTTTGAAACATGGCGGTGACAGTATCACAGTTTGGGACTGTTAGGACCTGTATTGGACCAGGACAGCTTGCCATCATTTGATGGAGCTTTAAAATCTGGATTGCATCAAGAAATTCTACAGGAGAATGCAAGGGCATCAATGGGTGAACTGAACTGCTGGAGATTTCGAATAAATTCCCTTAATCAGTAATCAAATAGATTTGATGTTGTAATCAATAACCGGATAGGAAGTATTGCCTAACAGAGAATATTAGTTCTTTCACAAAGGATCGGCCTTAGTCTGTCTGCAAAAGAGGATTCCAGATACTAGAAAGCCTCTGGGTTGACCGAGAGGCCTGTGTGTACCTACTGACCCAGTGAAGAGAGGGGCAAGTTGACCTTGAAAGGTAGAGCAGACTGGTAAAAACCTGTTGAAACCAGTTTTGAGGAGTGAGCTCATCATGCGTTGGCCAAATTGATGGACGAAGAGATGCACCTATTAAAGAATGAGCTAATATCAAAATTTGAGAAGTAAGGCAGGGGGATATCACATTACCCCAGATGAATGGTATATAAGCTGTTCTTTGGAACACTGTATTTGCACAGTTGGGGTCTCTCGAGACCCTGTGCCACCTGTTGCTGAAATAAAGAAGAAGCCTCTTTCTCCCTTCCACAAGAATTTAGCGGCTGAAGTCTTTTATTCTACTTTCTTTTATTTTTGATTGAATACCCTTTTTATTTTTGTTTATTTTATTTTAGTTAATTTTTGGAAGTGATTAAGACAATAATTAGAACAAAACCACAGCACAGAATAGTTCAGATTTTAAAAACCATCATATGTCGGGGCTTTGGGCAAGAAAGCAAATAGCTCTTGGTCCCGACAGAACCTCAACAGGAGGTGGGTCCTGCAGAAAGACAACCCTAAAACCACACGTTAGTCTACAAAGAATGGTTAAAGGAGAAGAAAAGTTGCATTTCGGAATGTCTTAGTCAAAGTCTAGACCTTAGAACTTAATCCAATAGAAACGTTGAGGCAAAACCTAAGGCATAGTGTTCATGCAAGAAAGGCCACCAATATAAGAGTTGAAGCAGTTATGTAAGGAGGAATGGGCCAGGTTGTGCAGTGCTTTCTGTAGGAAAGGAACCTCCAAGAGGAGGAATGGTGACTATAGCTGTAACACATTCCTGAAAGTTAGCATATCCCCTTAGGAACTGTTTGGTCGAAGTCTGTCCTGCTTAAGGGCGGCACACCAGTTTCTGAAAGCAGAGGTTCACATACTTTTTGCCAACAAAGACATTTAAGGATGAATTGCTTAGTTATGAGGTAAATGAAGATCTGATCATATTTAGGTCACATTTCTGTAGAAATTCACAAAATGATGAAGTGTAACAAATATAAGCAGCACAGTATATAGTACTATTATCTGTAAAAAAGTTCATTTCACAGCTAAACACAGTACTAAAACCTAGCCATCTTGAACCTTACTTTTGTCTGTACTTTTGTCTATTTTTAACATATACCTCAATTTCAAAAAAGTGGGGACAATTTGTGAAGTACTAATATGAACAGAAAGTAGTGATTAGTAAAATCTGTCTAATCTGTACTACAAAACATCCAAAGTATGATATATGATTTTTGACCCTGGATCATTTTACCTTTTTATCTTTTTTTTTTTGGTGTATATATACATATTTCAATGATTTCTTGAAAAAATTTTGAAAGAAAGAAAATGTACAGTTTCTTTTGAAAGCCAGTCTACATCTTGCACTTACAATTCTGGCATGACCATGAAAGCAGTTTAGACTGACAGCATTTTTATGTATTTCAGCGGTTATTCAAGTGTAGGGATTTGTCCCACCGGAGTACAGCTAAGCCCTAAAATCTGGATTAGCCTGAAGTATGCACACTCATCCTCACAAAGCGTGCACTATCTGAGAGACTTAAGTGAAATCTAGCCTCAGTTTGGCTGATGAGGTTGACAACTCCATAGCCCCCTCTCCTAGATCACAATTCTAGATTCAACCAGTGCACCCGTTTTCCTCCTGATGACTACTGATGTTAAAAACCAAGTGAAATACGAATTTATTCTGGTTACTGAGTTTGACTGCAGGGAACTGAACATCTACCCTTCCTATCTTATTGATAAATGATGTTCAGTCAAAACTCCGCCAGTGTTCTCCACCTGCAGGAGATTAGTTAGAATATGGAACAGAGGGTGTTAACTTGTTTGACCTTTCATTTGCACGGCACTGCATTTCCACTACATCCGAATAGGGGGCTGGTTGCACCAGCCGTACGAAGTTCAATTGTAGGCAATTTATATTGTGTTTACTAAGTTCAGGTTTATGCATCACTAAATCGAAATGTGTTGCACCACAAAAACTAGTTTTTATCATTGAGCTCAGTATTTACTAAATATTTACTCCTACTCTACCTCTAAGCAGGTATGTTTAAAGAAACCAGCAAAATCTACATATGCAATTGATTGTGAAAGCAATTTAACACTCCTGGTTAAATTGCACTGCTCTGCTGATTTTCTAAGTGGAAAAAAGTTAACACCACCACTGCATGTAACACGTTTAAATATAAGATATTCTGTAAATTTTAATCTTTTTATTTAGAGGAAAAGGAAGCAGCATTTGATGACAAGTACACCTTGCCAACTAACTGCATGCCAACTAAGCATGGGGGGTGGATCTTCTATGCTTTGTGGTTGAGTGGCAGCCAGGGGCAAAGGAAATTTTGTGAAGAATAGAGGGAAGAAAGGATTTTACTAAATATTAAAAAGTCCCACAGTCAGATAAGAAACTGAAGATGAAAACAGGTTGCATATTTCAAGAAGATAATGATCCAAAACATCTAAATAAACCTTACTTTAAGAACCAAACGCATAAGCTATTGTAACGTTCTTAACTGTCCTCAGACCTGAATATTTTTGAAAATCTGTGGTTAGATCTCAAACATGCTGTGCATGAAAGACAACCTATGAATATTTCTAAATTCGAAGCGTTTTTGGAAAAAAAAAAGGAAAGAATTCCTTAATCAAGAATATTAACTATTTCAACCAAAGCGGTTCTTATTGACTGTCCAAACTTAAGTACACACCACCTTATTTTTCAAGATGTTAAACCCAGCAAGTACATTAAAACATATGACATTTATGTTTGTTCCTACAGAACTGGTGTTAACTTTTCATTTAGAAAATCAACAAAATGTGTAATTTGACCAAGTGTGTGCAAACTTTTGCAAACAACTGTAAACAAACAATGAATACAGATATTCAGATTTAGTTAATCCAATGGTAAAAACATTACCTTGTAAACTTGTACATATCATTCTCTTCTAAATTGGCTATTTTTCCCATGGAATGTGAAAAGCTCCTGTTGCATTTCCATGGCAACAGGTTTATAGATTGGCTCTGAACACGTTATCATGTTAAAGCGACAGTGTTTAGCCACATCAGATAGTTGTTACTAGCTAAAACATATGCAAAACTAGTGCAACCCAGCCCAGCGATGGACTATAATGAAGTACACGTAATTTGTTACTGTGATTAAGTAGTTTCTGAAATGTCCATACTTTATTAAAGGACCTAATTTATAAGAGACCTTTTAACTGGCTGATTTGTTTGCCCTGCTACACATAGATGAGCTAGAAAGCTAGCTATAGCCATCAAACTATAAGAAATCCAGCCTATTAGGGTTCAACACGTTATTTGTGGTGTTATGCAGCACAGCACTTTATTTCCACAGCCACATTTACTATTTAATATCAATTTCATGTTTTTGTTCATCAATCTTTCACTACAATACCCAACATTCCTGACATAAATACATCATACAACCACTGGGAATCCCTGTGGTGTCACCCAATCCTGATTGCTAGTCTAAACGTGTATCATAGCTGTGTGTGCTCTTTATTCCTTGTGATGTGTTTGACTTGTGCTGCTGGGAAGGAGCAGTGTGGTGAACTGAACCACTGGTTTTCAGTAGCATGCAACAGTGAGAGACACAGTATTGAGTGAAATATAATAAAAATGCCACCTTTTTCTCATTAACAGCATTTTTAATAAACAGGAAAGTCTGA